AAAAAAAAAAAAAAAAAGAAAATGGGAAGCAATAATATTTGTCTGACCAATTTTCTTTAAAGCCATTTCCATGATGATGATGATGATGATGAGACTCAATTATATATTTGATTTCAGTCACTCCTGATAAATAACAAATTTGGAGAAATAAAAATATCTTTGAATATTTTCAAAGGAGGAGAAAGGAGAGATAAGGAAGGCAGAAAGAAAGGCGGTAATTAAGAAAGAAAGAACTGGGGAGAGGGAGGGGTTGGCGGAAGGGAGGAGAAGAGAGAGGTCGGGGAGAGGACGACAGCCAGGAGCAGAGTTAGTCGGAGAATTTATCGGACCTTAGGCGTGATTATCTCCTGCCTCTGTAGCTGAGGAGTGGGCATCAAAATGGCAACACTAAACCATCCAAGATCTCCTGAGAAAAACTCCCCAGTGGAGCAGAAGATCCCATTCTTCACTATTATCAAATGCGTTGTTTGAGAACGCCCCAGACTGTCTTCTAACGCCCTTTCTTCCCCCGCTCCCCCCTTCCCTGGACGCCATGACAACTGTCACGTGCCCCTGCAAACAAAGCTTCTCCAGGGCTGCACAGGCCCCAGCTGCTCCTCTCTGGAAGGAGCAGGAGGGCTTTGTTGCTGAGATGCACGGAGCCCCCCGGCTGACCTTTCCCTGTGCCAGTGAGTACCTGTGGCGTACACGGGAGAAGGCCTATGAGGACCACAGGAGGAAGGTAGGAAAGTCCCCAGGCCAGCCCCGACAGCTCAGCGGGCACCCGGCAGTGCCCACAAAATGCCCATGCTTTCCTTGGAGACCTGAAGGTGATTTTCTTTCTGGAGATAGCATGGTTGAAATGGCATTCCCAACAAGATTCATCATCTGTGTTGCCATACAATAAAAATCTCATTAAACAGATGAAGGCTTTCATGTGCCACGTTTTAGGGTCATCCTGCTTCTAATCATGGCATATATTTATGAAGTACTTAATTTTTCCCAAGCGACTTGAAAGCATCATCTTAAGACAAAAACACTAGAGGCATCCTTTACTTTACTTTCTTTCTTTCTTTTTTTTTTTTTTTTTTTGAGAGGAAGTCTCTCTGTGCCACCCAGGCTGGAGTGCAGTGGCACAATCTCAGCTCACTGCAGCCTCTGCCTCCCAGGTTCCCACAGGGGTGGGGCTCATTTAGCAAGACAGACCCTGGTGCTACAGGCCCCACTGAGTGAGGAGAAGGCAGCTCCAGCAGAAGGGTGCGGAGCAGCAGGGGCTGGAAGCAGCTCCATGGCGGGGCCCCTCTGACACTCCACAGGTCTCCAACAGGCACTAAAACTTGCATGAAAACAAAGCCTCTCCCAAATTAAGAGTAGAGAGAGTCTGTGCTTTGAATAACTTAGTTTCTTATTGCTTGGCTGAGAATCTCTGAAACTATAAAGACCTTGATAGAATAAGAGGAGAAAAAAAAAGATCTGTGGGAGAGCAATGCACCCCAGTCCCCTGATGACTGCCCTCCTGGAATAGGGGTCTCGTCCCCAGCGCAGCCTTCGCCCTCAGGGTCTGAGTGGCTCCTGCCCCCACCGCTCCCCAGCACACCTGCCCCTATAGCCAGGCTGGCCGTGCCCACGAAGTCACCTCCAGTCTTGCACTGGCTGCCACCTCCTGAAACACCTGTTTCCCCTTCCCTGTGCCAGCTGGGCTTCTCCTTGGATGAGCTTGTTAGTAGACAGGTGCTGCTGAGGAAAGAATCCGTGAGTTTCAGGATATATCAATTAAAACATCTGTCTTCGTCCATTTCTGCTACTAAAACAAGAAAACACAGATTGTCATTTATAAACAGCAGAATTTGCTTCTTACAATTCAGAAGGCTGGAAACCCAGGGCTGAGGCACCAGCAGGTTTGGCGTGTGATGAAGTCACTCTCTGCTTCCAAGACGGCGCCTTGCTGCTGCATCTTCACCTGGCGAAAGGGGCAAGAGGGGTGAATGGCTGTGTCCTTGCATGGCATGAGAGAAGGAAGCCCCAGGCAGCTCTCTGAAGCCTCTCTTATTCATGTATTCACAGGAGCAGAGCCCTCATGACTTAGCCGCTTCCCTAAAGGCCCTACCTCTTATTACCACCACAGTGGGAATTAAGTTTTAACACAAATTATGGAGGGACGTGAACATTTGAGGCATAGCAACCTTCAAAACTGAAAAGCAGGCTGAGCACAGTGGCTCATGCCTGTAATCCCAGCACTTTGGGAGGCCAAGGCGGGAGGATTTCTTGAGCCCAGCAGTTTGAGACTAGCCCTGACAACACAGTGAGGCCTTGTCTCTACAAGAAAATTAAAGTTAGCTGGGCATGGTGGTATACACATGGAGTCCCAGCTACGTGGGAGGCTGAGGCGGGAGGATCACTTGAGCCCAGGAGTTTGAGGCTGCAGTGAGCCACAATCACTCCACTGAATTCCAGTCTGGGCAACAAAATGAGATCTTATCTTAGAAAAACCAACCACAGCCAAACAAGAAACAAACTAAAAAGCAAAGAGAACGAAGTCTGAATAAAAACAGAAAAGAATATCCGAGAACTGTGGGACAGTTACAAAGGTGTAGCACACTTGTAATAAGGATACCAGGAGGAGAAAGAGACAAAGGAACAGAAATGTTTGAAACCACAGTGAATGAGAATTTCCACCATGTTAATGTCAGACACCAAGCCACAGATGCAAGAAGTTCAGAGAATGCCAAAAATGATAAATACCCAAAAAATGACACCTAGGTATATCATGTTCAGACTTTAGAAAGTCAAAGATACAGAAAACCTCCTGAAAGAAGCCGGAGGAACAAGACTCCAAGAGAGGGCCGAAGATGAGGTGACATGTGCGCCTCCTCCAGCCGGGTGAGCAGGAAAAAGCAGAGGGAGACGTGTGAAGTGCCCAGAGGAAGGGAAGCAAGACCCTAGAGTTCTGCACCCTGAGAAATTATTCATCAGAAGTGAAGAAGAAAGAAAGTCTTTCTCAAACAAAAATTGAGGAAATGTGTCAGTTGACCTGACTTGGAAGAAATAGCAGAAGAAATTTTTCAGATAGAACAAAAATGGTGTAGGTCAGTAACAAATCTACATAGAGAAAGGAAACCATCAGAGCGGGAATAAGCAACAGTGAAATAAAGACTCTTACTTTTATTATTCTTAGTTGACCCAACAGAAAAACGTTTGTTCAAAACCATAATAACAGATGGTATTAGATTGCATGTACTTTCATGTGACTCTCTACCTGTGATATAGGTATATATGCTTATAGATCAACATAAGTGAAATGAATAAGCAGCCACTGCCATTGCACCAGCTGTGGCGGGGGCGGGTATGGGAGGTGGGGGCAGCTGCAGGAGTGGCAGTAGCGGGGTGGGACCCCTGTGCCCCACATCCCCCAGGTAGCCACTGCTGCCCCGACCGTTGTACAGCCAGGCAGGACCCGCTCCCAGGCCCAGAGCCTCCACCACTGTGGACCCTGGCCCAGCATGGCTGCTCTTGCCCACCACTGCTGCAGGGAGGGCACAGGACAGAGGTGGGCAGTACCCAGAGCTCACCTCTGGGAGTCCCCAGAACCTGTCACCCTAAGGGCCGCTGTGATGGACCCAGGCCGCGCCGCCTGCTGGTGGGAGAGCAGTGCAGCCGGACACACAGAAGTGGGCAGAGAGGGGCCCAGTGAGGAGCTGGAACCCCCAACCCAGGCTGTAAGGAGGTGCAGTCAGGACTGCACACTCCACGGAGCCTGTGGGAGCCAGGGATGAACAGGAGCCCCACCCCTTCCGAGTGGGCAGGGCAGGAGCTCCTTGGGTGCAGCTGCAGCCACGTGGCAGTCACTACGGACTCAGTCTTGTGTATGGCTCTGCACTCTCAGGGGCCCAGGAAGGCCCTGTCTCCCCACAGGTTCAGAAGTGCCTGCTCCCACTGCCTGGCTTCTGCCACTGTTGGTGCCAGCTCCAATCTTGGAGCAAAGCTGGGGCTGAGCCAGGGCACTGTCACAGCCCAGTGCCCTGGGTGTGCCCACACTTAGGGCAGAACTGACATGCCAGCCCCTTGCCACCTTGGCCCCTCCAGACTCTGGGCACTGGCAAGTGCAGGAGGGAGGCTGAGGGGCACAGTGAACAGTGTGGTGCTGGCCTGCTGTGCCTCTTGGGTGCCATGAACAGCGACAGGAGGCAGATGGGCTCCTGTGCAGAAGGGGGCAGGTCCCTAGTGAAGCCTGACCTTCAACCTGCGGAGGGCCTGAAGCCTGGCGGCCCAGCTGCCAGTCCTGCAAACCAGAGGGGGAACCTGTGGTGCTTTTCCCTGGGCCTGCCCACAGCCACCCGTGGACCAGTCAGCAAGCACTTCCTCTGCTCTGAGGTCCATAAAAACCGTGGACTCAGCCAGACTCCAGCAGAGGATGGAGATATGATGGGGAGAATATGGGCCATCCAACTGCAGTTTAAGATGCACATTTTTACCAACACTCGATTCATGTTTATTAGGTATTTTCTAGGAAAATACAAGCTTTCTCCCAAGTTCTTCTCTTTTTCTGAACCCTCACTGGAGTCACCTTAGCATTCATGTTTCTAGTATGCACCTCAAAACTTTTCCTTGTCTACCCATTGCCCAGTTCCAAAGCCGCTTCCACGTGTTTAGGTATTTGTTACAGCAGTACCCACTTCTTGGATCCAAAATCCATCTCAGTCTGCCTAGGCTGCTACAACAAACATCAGCCTCAGTGGCTTAAACAATGGAAATTCGTGCTACCACAGCTCTGGAGGCTGTGAAACCCACAGTAGGGCTCTGGCAGAATGAGGTTCCTGGGGAGGCTCCCTTCCTTCCTTGCAGGTGGCTGCCCTTCTTGCTGTGTCCGCAATGGCAGAAAGGTAGTGTTCTCCCTCTCCTCCCATAAGGCCACAGTCCTTCGGGATTAGAGCTCCTTCCGTAGGACTTCATTTAACCTTAATTACCTCTGAACAACCCTATCTCCAGATATAGTCACATTGGGGTTAGAGCTTCAACATGAGTTTGGACAGAACAAAATTCAGTCTATACAACACATACTCTATAGAAAGATAAATTTTTTATAATTAAATTTTCAATTCATTTAAAATTTAACTCCACACATACTAGAAGAAAAGATAGGCAAATTATTCTGTAACTTGGGATTAGGGGAAATTTTACTAGCCATAACTCAAAACCCAGAATCAACGAGGGTTAAATGTGACTAAATTAAAAAGACATACTGCATGGCTCAGAAAACAGGCTAAGTAGAAACAAAAACAAACGTATACACATATATTTAACATACATATACATATATAAGTGCTTATATGGATGTATATACTTTATACATACATACGTACAAACACATATATATGTTGTTTTTGGAAAAATAATTGCAATCTGTGTCAGAAAGGGTTATTATCCATATATATATGGATTTCTGAAAGTAAGGGTAATATGTAAATGTGTGTCATAAAGGGTTCTTATCCTTATATATAAAAGGAACTTCTAAAAGTAGGAAGAAAAATGCAAACCACCCCATGTAAAAATGGGCACGTGGTATCACCAAAGTTCACAGAGAAAACATTGCAAATAGCTCTTTAAAAAAATAAAGACAAAATCCTGGGCTCAAGCAATCATCCCACCTCAGCCTCCCAAAGTGCTGGGGTTACAGGCATGAACCACTGCACCCAGCCAACAAATAGCTCTTAACTTAGAAAAAGATTATCAGCTTCCGTATTTTAGAGAAATTCAAATTAAACTCACACTCTAATACCTCTTCTGAACTATTAGATTGGCAAAAATCCAAAATGTTGTTGGCAGGGTTCTGTGGAAAGGGGCATGACCATCAAATGCTGATGGGTGGGCAACGGGCCCAGACCTACGGGGGAATTGAGCATAATCTAATACAATTACATACACATCTGGCCTTTCACGCTGCAGTCCCAATTTCAAAGATATACTGGCAAAGATACAAAACAATATTGTAAAATATTTTAATTGCAGCATTTTTTGTAATAGCAAAATGGGAACCAACCCATATGTCCATCAGGGAGCTGGGTAAATAAATTAGGGTGCTTTTAACACAATAAAGTATGATGCTTTAAAAAGGAATGAGAAACATCTCTATATACTACTATAATGTTATTTCTAGGATGTTCTGTTTAATGAAAAAAGCAAGGTGGAGAAAAATGTGTTTATCTAAAAAGGGGATGAAATGTATATCTATATACACAAGCACATATATGTAATAAATATGTGTACACATAAACACATATTCTATGTTCTTACATTTTGAGGAATGTAAAGAGTAACGATAAAATCAGAAGAATGTCAATGGAACAGGGAGAAGATGAGCGTATAGAACTTAGACGTCTTGGAAAAAGTTGTTTGGCACACTTGGCTCTGGTGCCACGTGAATGTTTTACATACTACAAAACAAAATTAAATTTAAAAAGCATCTCTAACTATTGGAAATAAAATGAACCTAAGTGCAGATGTAAGTGATGCCATAGCCATACTGGGAGGAGCTAGCCCTTCCAGCTGCCTTTGAAACTCAGTAATGTGGGTATTCACGGTGAGATCCTCTAGTCACAAAACAGTGTCGGAAAATTAAGCTATTTTCAGTAATCACGTTAATGGTGGCATGTCAGTATTATTTCTAATCTTTTTTTTTTTTTTTTTTTTTGAGATAAGGTCTCACTCTGCGGCCCCAGCCGGAGTGCAGTGGCGTGACCACGGCTCCCTGCAGCCTCCATCTCCAAGCCTCCAGCGATGCCCCCACCTCAGCTTCCCAAGCAGTTGGGACCACAGGCATATGCCGCCATGACTGGTTAATTTTTTTTAATTTTTTGCAGAGACCGAGGTCTCACTGTGTTCCCCAGGCTGGTCTCAAACTCCTGGGCTCAAGCGAAGCTCCCGACTCAGCCTCCCAAAGTGCAAGGATGACAGGCTGAGCCACCATGCCCAGCCCAGATTGCTGTGTTCACAGTGGAAAAATCAAATGAGTAATTCTGTTGGTGTCATTAAGAACTGGGAATTTCCACTTGGGAAGAGTGAAATGCAGAAGCAAGAGCAATGAGGCTAAGAGGAAGGCAGGCCTGAACTAGAATTGGAAGGAGCATGGGCTCTCTCCACTGCAAAGGGCTGGAAACAACAGCAGCCTCCTAATTACCGTGACTGATACTCAAAGGCCATTTCTCACCAAGAGAACCAGAGCACAGTGGTAGAAATGGCTGATCCCAAGTTGAGATAGGATATATGCAAAATAAGCCGGCATTACCTTGTCACTCTAGAAGCCAAGGAGCCCGTTGAGTCTGCTAGGTTGTGTGGAAAGGTCCCAGGAGCCACTGGAGAAGGTTCTCACCGGACAAAGATGGACAAGTTGAGCACCAATAAGGAAGTTATTTATTTATTCTTGAGACAGAGTCTCACTCTGTCGCCCAGACTGGAGTGCAATGGTGTGATCTCACCTCCGCGGTTTGAGCGATTCTCCCACCTTAGCCTCTCAAGTAGATGGGATTACAGTTTCATGCCATCATGCCCAGCTAATTTTTGTATTTTTGTAGAGATGAAGTTTCACCATGTTGGCCAGGCTGGTCTTGAACTCCTGACCTCAGGTTATCCACCTGCCTTGGCCTCCCAAAGTGCTGGGATTACAGATGTGAGCCACAGTGCCTTGCCAAAGTTAATGAAATAGATTGAAACATGCCAAATATATTTTAACATTATACTTCCTAATGTCTTTAAAAAAAAACTTCACTAGTCATCTTTGGAAGGTACTAAGAACCAACTTACTATTTTGAAAATTGGCAAATAGAGAAAACCTAGTAATTTTCCTGCCAATGCAAAGCTTTTCTTTATAGAAGTATTCCAGCCTATAAATATAGATTGAATGATGGAATTAGAATATTTTCATTTTTCAAACCATAATCGGGTAATGAATCAAGGATCATTCACTGCTGCTAACGTCACGAGGTAGAGACAAGCAGAAATTTGTACCTTCCAATAAAATGTCACTATATCACCTATGGTTTATCAAGGGAAAAAAATGAACCTGAATTTCTAACTGCCAATATACAGAAAATGTCAGGCATGTGATCAGCAAAATCCAAACTCCGAAACTCTACAGGACCAATTATCTGGATTTCTCATAGCAAATTCCAGGGAGATAAACAGGGAAATTATACAGCAGACGTAAAAGATTTGCCGAACAGTGACAATATGGGCCTTTTTATGTGAGTCCTGAGTCAAACGAGGAAGGGAGGAGGGAGAAAGGGAGAGTGGGTCTCCGTTTTTTAATGCTAACAAGCACTCTGCTGGGAGCACTCATTCCCCCTAAGAGCAAACATTCATTGATGATTCTGCCAAAACCAGTCTCTACAATGATGATTACAAAATGGTGATTTTTCGACCGCACCACTGCCTCTACGTTTACCAACTGGCATTTTGCTGTAAGGAAGCACTCCTTCCCTCTTGTACCTAATGTTTAAATTAAACAAGAAGCAACATCAGATAACATCAAGGGGTTCAAAAGGCTTTGTTCAACAAGTTCTGCCATCAGGCAAGCTAGTGTGACATTTTTAATAACAGTCATGGATCTCAAATCTTTATGCAGAGCTTGAAGGAACTGGCTTCTAGAAAACTCTGTGTAGGCATCTCAGATTAAACATGTTTAACTCAGAATTCACCGTCCATACCGCAAACCCACTCACCACCAACCCACTCTGTCTTAGTGTCACCACATATGAAAACTGGAAGCAGAGGGCATTCTTCATTTCTTTTTCTCCCTTCACACCCCCCCCACCCCGCCGACACATGCACACTGCACCTGGGCGCGGCTCCTGCCAGCTCCCCCAGCCAGTGGCCCCACAGACCTAAGCATGCTGCAGGCCCAGGCCTCCTCCCTGGATGACAACAGGAGCCTTGGCACTGGCCTCCCCACCTTCTTTCAGGCTTCTCTTCCTTCACACATAGTGACAGAAGAGGTTGCAAAAAGTGACCATGTGACCATGTCACTCCTCTGCCTCTGTTCTCAATGCTTCCCTGTCCTTTGGGGGCCAAGTTGCAGTTCCTAAGTGTGCTCTGTGCAGCTCACCATCCAGCCCTTTCTCCACCTCCTGACGTCCCATTGCATCTTCTCCGTCTGCTATGCTGTCACCACCCTGCCCATGGGTTCTGTCCCCATGCCGGCCATCCCGTGGGTTCCGTCCCCAGGCTGGC